ATTTTCAAAGGCAGGCCTGGGCTCCATTTGCAATAGGGTGCAGTAGCCAGCACCACGTGACAGGTATTGACAGGACTTTTGAGACTCATTTGGAGGATTTCCAGGACATGGATCAAAATGGGAACCTGTGGGCTACGTCTACATTGGCCCCTTTTCCGGAAGGGGCATGGTAATTTTTGAAATCGCAATAGGGAAATGCGCGGGGGATTTAAATCTCCCCCGCGGCATTTAAATAAAAATGTCCGCCGCTTTTTTCCGGCTTTTAAAAAAGCCGGAAAAGAGCGTCTACACTGGCCCCGATCCTCCGGAAAAAGCGCCCTTTTCTGGAGGATCTTATTCCTACTCCAAAGTAGCCAGTATGATCTTCCATTCTGCTATACCAGTTATCCTCCTTTGTTCTTGTATGTTACTATCAACTCTAACTTTGCCCTTAGATTAGCTCCCTTGCTGACATCCTATGAAAAGCTCATTTGTATGCCCTGTGCCCTTCCTGCTGTTTCATGTAAATTCAGATTTAAACCTCTATGTGTCTATAATGCTTGGTGTTTACAGAGATTATTTTAACCTTGTAGTTTCTGTAATCAGACTTTGCCTATAGTATCCTAATGTACATAATGTTTTATCTTTGGCTTCCTTGTCCAGAATTGCATTAAAACGAGCGTAGTAGTGTCTTGTAGAGCTCTAGCTCTTCCCTTTAGTTATGTTTGGTTAATTACCTTCTTGCAGGCATAGCAGTGGCGTGCAAACTGCTTCTCAAAACATGGCACACAATAATTCTCATTGTCTTTGGTAACCAAAGGCTTTGTTCCTAAAGGCTGCCGGCAGTACTGACAAACAAAACAAGTTTCATGCCAGCAATTTCCTTTAAATTCCATTTTACGAGAACCTGAAAACCAATAAAAGCATGTGAGTGCCACTGAAGTTAAGGGATCACCTTGCAGAAGGACAAGATTCCCTCATCCAGATGAACTTGCATCTGACTTTGTTGAGCCCCTGACTACCATTGCACCCCACATCCAATTCAACTACAAAGTCATAATCCATACCCACATCCACATACTATAATGCCCACAAAACAGATATCAGACAAGATCACAAAGAGAAAACAGTTTCTTGCCACTTTAACCAGAAAGGACACTCTCTAAATGACTTAGCCACCTGCATTCTGCTACAAAGACCTTTTACATCTGCACTTGAAAGGGAATCCTCTGAACTGTCATTCATGTTAAAATTCGACACTTACCAACAAGGACTTAACAAGTCTTTGAACTTTCTCACCCATTACCAAGACAGTTTCCCCAATTATCACCTGTAATACCATTAACTCACAAACATCCCACTCTCCCTACCTTTAATATCAGCAATTCACAGACACTTACCTTCCTTCCTCCCCCTTCCCACCCCCCCGCATCCCCCTTCTGTTCTGCAATGTGATTTGTCCTTTTCATATTTGCAGAACAAGGAGCAATGGTCTCAAGTTGTGGTGGGAGAGGTCCAGGTTGAATATTAGGAAAAACTATTTCACTAGGAGGGTAGTGAAACACTGGAATGGGTTACCTAGGGAAGTAGTGGAGTCTCTATCCCTAGAAGTGTTTAAGTCTCAGCTTGACAAAGCCCTGGCCGGGTTGATTTAGATGGGATTGGTCCTGCCTAGAGCAGGAGGCTGGACTTGATGACCTTCTGAGGTCTCTTCCAGTTCTATGATTCTATGATAAGGGGATGGTTTGATGAGATAACAGGATCTTGGTATCTAATTGACCATTCATTATCAGTGGGAAATAGGTCAATGGAGGGATGATAGGAGTTACTATAGAGAACTTTCTGGGTGTCTGGCTGATGAGTCTTGCCCACATGCTCAGGGTTTAGCTGATCGCCATATTTGGGGCCGGGAAGGAATTTTCCTCCAAGGTAAATTGGCAGAGACCCTGGAGGTTTTTCGCCTTCCTCTGTAGCATTGGGCACAGATCACAGCTGGAGGATTCTCTGCATCTTGGGGTCTTCAAACTATTTGAAGGCTTCAGTATCTGAGATACAGGTGAGAGAATTATTCTAAGAGGGGTGGGTGAGATTCTGTGGGCTGCACTGTGCAGGGGGTCAGACTAGATGATCATAATGGTCCCTTCTGACCTTAAAGACTATGAGTCTATGAATAGGCCCAGATCCCTAAGGCCCAGCATCATAAGGGCCCAGACCTGCTAGCACTTCAGGGTCCTGGTGCTCGAGGTGGTAGCTCGAGGTTAACACAATTGATTCAAGGTGGGGATAGGCTTGAGCCAGGGTTCAAGACCAGACATACTCAGTGACATTGATATGAAAGAGAACTGCCATGCCCTCAGGCTAAATGACGAAGAAGTTACATGCCCCTTTTTTTAGTGACAACTGAAAAGCTGGGAATGGCCAATGAGTAAATCACACGCCAGGCCTGGGCAAAGGCTGGAGCATTTCCAGTTGAGTGGCTTCTCTGGAGATTGATAATATGAGAGATGTAGGTTAAATGATGGAGCCGTATGTGGTGTCTGCAAGAAGCATCCAGAAAACTGCAGAGAGCCAGCAGACAGCACTAGATGTATTGGGAACAAGGCCCTCACAGAGATCCAAAAGAGACCTTCTTGATCAAAATGATGAATGAAAAACGAGGCTTGGATTGTGAGCAAGGAAACAGCCTGCTGTTCCCTGATCTAACAGGTCAGAGGAGCAGGACTTTGGGTATGTTATTTGTAAACAACAAGGATTGTGTCATGAAAACACTGGTTTCTTCTTCTATTTTTCCTCTGTAAAGAAAAATAAGACAAAAGACCCTAACTATCAGCTAAACACTTTGAACAAAAGGGGTAAGTAAAAGACGGGAAAAATAAATTGAAACAAGAGATGCAAAAAAACTATTGAAGCATTGGAGGAGTCATATATAGGTATGAGAGATGACCTTCAGTTGGAGTTAAAATATTGATCGGAGCAGCAGATATGAAGTCCCTGGCAGCAGGTGAAGTCTGGCTGTGACATCCCCAGTTTGAAATAGAAAGGCAGATAAATAAGGTGACCAGTAAATTGACCCTCGTGGATCAGAAGTTTTCAAAGGAACTATGGGAGATCACGAAAGTTTTCCTTCATGTGGAACGTGTTAGCGGTGATGCGCTCCAGCAAAGACTTAAGCAGAAAAAAACAACAACTGTGG